AGACCCCCCCATTCAGCCTATTTTGGTACATAAACCCACACAATTATCCTAAGTAGACCGTAGGTGAAAGGATAAAATAAAAGACAAATGTAGGATATGTGCCCTTATACTCATATTAAATACTTATACCCAATTTTGGGGTTAAACAGCTATATACGGCTGATATACAGGGAATCTAATACAGTTTCTTGGACAATTATTCTGTTGTGTTCATATTTGTTTTTGACTTTCTCTTTTATTAGACTTACAGGGGTAAAAAGTAATGTGATCAGATAGAAGGCTGGTGGGGTGGGATCATAGGCACGTTGATGTGAAATTTTTTTGCTGCGTGCTCACTGTACTTAGACAGATGTTGCCTCAGAAATAGACTGAAACATCAGCGCATCACTCATGAGAAATTTATAAAGTGTTGTGTAAGTGCTGTAATAATTACATTGTTGTTTGAGGGGTTACACTTTAGCAAGATGTCATGTCTAGAGTAATTAATTTGTTTACCAGCAGAATACCAAAGAAAATCCAGATTGGATAAATTGCTGTTTACAGAAGACCTTGCCAGTGAAAAAAGATGAGACAAGTAGAGTCCAAGAAGGAAGGAAATTGGGAGTATAATAATAGAAACCCAGCAAGGATTCCATGCCCATTTTCCCTAACAAAGGAAACGCACTTTGGACAGCAGCCACCAACGATTCAGTCGGTAGCCACGTTTACATGCAGCCTAATCTGTTAATAATCCGACTAACAGCTCAATCGGAACACATTACGTCCATATATACACCTCAATCGGAATAGTCTAGTCTGATTGAGACCATTCAGAATACAATTTCTAACCAATTGAACGAGGTGGGTAATCCTGTAGATAATCCATTAAATAGAAGAATAATGGCCATGTAAACACCTGTATCTGATTACATTCCCAGTCGGAAAGTTTAAGTACGTTCTGCGTTTGTGTGTGTTTGCGTCATAGCGAAATGTTTATAACATTCACCATGGTGGGAGCAGAAGCTGCAGGGGAGACAAGACGGTGGTGGGACGGCCGTCCATCTTATGTATCTCAAAACATAAAGCCTTCCTCTCTGCCTTCTTTAATAAGCACATGTGAAGTACGTTTTCCTGAGTCTGACATCATTTTAAAGTAATTAAAAACACAGTGATAACAGGTTGCACAAGGCCTATGCAGCATCACAATGGTAGCATACTAACTCAGTGTTGAGCACGTCACCAGTATAAGCACATTTTCCAACTGATACAACAGCAAGATTACATACACATTTATGAGGCCGCAGGTTAACATAAACCCAACAAACAATGCAGTCACTTTTGACAAGGACCACATTCACCCAGATGAAAAAAAAATAATTAAAATCAGACTGAGAAAAAAAGCAAACTTACAAACCCAGCAGAAAGCATCCATCAGACTGCCACAGTGAGTGTGGAAATGTATTTATTTTTTAAAATGTATGTCTTACTTCTGAAGAGTAAGACTTTGACTCAGAATTGAGCCTCATGACTCGGAAAGACTTGAGACCCAAAGTGGAAGAAGCATGGAGAGGCGTCTGACTGCAGACTGCTACAAAGTTACTTTTCATGTGAACGGATTTGTCAGCAGCGTCGTCAAATGTCTGTTACTGTACTTATTCTTGGCTTAATTTATGTCAGAAGACAAGTGAAGCATTACAGTTCAAGTTTGCCTCCATAAGCTAGAAACAAGAGAGGCATAAATGCACTTAACTTACTGGAGAAACTGACCATTTTCCTCATGGTTTCGAAAGAAAAGAAACACGGTTCTCTCTCTTTGACTGGTATTAACCATTATTAGCTTCATAAGTTAAAACAAGAGCAAAATTCACTACGAAGGTGAAGTTGACTTTTTATTTGCCTGCTTCATGTTACAATTTGCCATTCCATCTTAAATGGTGCAGCAGCTAGATGCCGGAACATAACTACAGCACCATTTAAGGTGGAACGGTAAATTCAAATAAGAAGCTGGCAAATAAAAAGTCAACTTCAGCTTCATGCATTCACCTTGATTTTGCTGTCTTTTCTGTAAACTTTGTTCAGTTCAGTCATTTTGGTTTCTGTTGTCGTCTAAATTCAATTCAAACTAGCAGCTGTTTTTAGTTTGCTGAACTAGTTTTAGTGCCAAGCTATTTTTAGTATTTATTTTAATTCTATTCACCCAGTGTTCCCACAAATCATCAAAAATTATCATCTTCAAATATCGCTGTTGTCGGATCAAAACCTCGTATCTCCAAAATAAGAACTTTACAGGAGAAGGAAAAAACGTACTCTACTTTTAATGTAAGTCAATGGAACCAGAATTTTTTCCAAGTCATTTTGGGTCATTTCTGTAGGTCCATTCGTCATGAAATTTACACATAACATATAGGACCATGGGTACTTTCAAATTATGTCAGAAACTGAAAACTGACAAAATGGAGATACAAAGTTTTGTTCCAACAGCAGTGCACTATTTGTATATACCATTATGTCTGTCATGATTATCTGTGTACCATTGATTTTGTATTTTGTTTGGAAGGGTAAAAATAAATAAATTAATTAATTAACAGCCACACACTGTCACTAAAAGGCTGTATTACTGTTACAATCATTTTTTGGTGCTCAGTGTTAGCTGTAGAGTGCATACTGGCTTATATAGGACTTGAAGACTTGAGATCAACTTAGGACTTGCCTGAACTGACTTGGGACTCAACTTGAGACTTGCCTGTACTGACTCAGGACTTGAATCAAGACTTGACTGTCTTAACTTGGGACTTGACTTGGGGCTCAAGTGTTAAGACTTGAGACTTACTTGTTACTTTCAACTCAGTGACTTGTTCCCACCTCTGTCCTCTACCCTGTTGTAGTATCAAGTCTCACTTTTAAAGATCCCCCAGGCACATCTTTTAAATATCTGGAGCTCCAAATTCAAAGTACATTCACAGGAACAGTAGCTCACTGTTAAAAAACCTTAAAGCTTGACTGTAATAATGGCATAGTTGCACAGTTGCTAAGCAGTCATTGCAGGAAAAAAAGAATGATGACTGGCTCTAAGACAATGAAAAATTTGTTCTTTTTTCTGTTGTGCTGCTAGTAAAATTCCCACCTCTACTAGAACTGCGAGTCAAAACAGTTGTTTAGATTTTCTCATAATTGCTGGCAAGAGCACCCTAGTGGCACGTACTCATAAAATCCATTGGATTATCGAGGTCCTGGTACACAGTGCACAGTCTCCCGGTTCATGTCCCAGTCAAACACCATTGTCACAGTGCAAAGTCCCCAGCTCACAGCCCAGCCACGAGCCCTAGTCATCACAGCTGATGAGGTGTAAAGTCTCTTGGCTTGCGGCTCAGTCAGACTCTGTTGTAGTGGTGCAAAGTCTCCTGGCTTGCGGCCCAGTCAAACTCTGCTGTAGCGGTTTAAAGTCCCCTGGCTTGCGGCCTAGTCAAACTCTGCTGTAGCAGTTGAAAGTCCCCTGGCTTGCTGCCCAGTCAAACTCTGCTGTAGTGGTGTAAAGTCCCCTGGCTTGCGGCCCAGTCAAACTCTGCTGCAGCAGTGTAAAGTCCCCTGGCTTGCGGCCCAGTCAAACTCTGCTGTAGCGGTTTAAAGTCCCCTGGCTTGCGGCCTAGTCAAACTCTGCTGTAGCAGTGCAAAGTCCCCTGGCTTGCTGCCCAGTCAAACTCTGCTGTAGTGGTGTAAAGTCCCCTGGCTTGCGGCCCAGTCAAACTCAGCTGCCACGGAAAAAAAACTTGCTCGTGGCCCAGTCAAACTCCATTGTCAAGGTGCAAAGTCATCTGGATCACAGCCCAGTCAAATTCTGCTGCTGTGAACAAAAGTCTCCTTACACATGGCCCAGTGCAAAGTCTACTGGCTTGAGGCCAATCAAACTCCACTTTGGCAAAGCGAAAAAAAAACATCTGCATAATATCTTTGTAGTTTCTCCAAGACAATGTTGTGATCGGATAAAGGACAAATGAGACTTCTGTTTAAGTCTCGTGCTGCTCAGATACTTCTCCTGAGCAAAAGACTTCAGTAATCTCATGTTTCTCCTTATGAGTTTTAGCAGAGATTTCAAAAAGGTCACACATTGTACTCAGATTTAAAAGACACTGCTCATGTTTAACGGCAACTGAGCTAAAGGCAGGAACTTAGAAATGTTTCATTTCTCAATTTTGATACTGTGAATAACTATTATGCCTAATACTATTTCTCCTAATACTGTTTTTAGAATGATCTTTTCCTTTTTAACTCCTTTTGTCTGTTCCCAGTATTCTGATCATGTCTCAGTCTGCCTGTCTCAATAGTTAAGTAAAAGCTTGGTAAGGTTTCATTTCAACTTCCTGTTCTGTGAACGATGATAACTCAAGCAGTATCACATGTCATCTTCAGAGCTGAAGACAGCCGTGGAGACTGCACAATGGCTTTTAAAAAATAAACAACTGATGTCAAGCTGAAAACCAAATTACACCAACAGTGTGTTCAAGGGAGAGAAAAGAAATAGACATGAATGAGGAAATATATGCAAACTCAACAGACGATAGATTATCTGATTCCAACAACAGTGAGAATTCATATGAAGATGTCGACGCGAATGAAGGTGTCTTGGACGCTCGGATGACCACAATCCCTAAGGAACCTGTGACCTCAGGTATGCATATATATATATATATATGCATACCTATATATGCTAATGGCTTCACTGATATAGGCTTGATATTATTACCAACACTGTATAACCTATAAGTATTAAATTCTTAATTAATTAATTAGTTTCAGGAACGAATGCTGCAGGGAGCAGATGCAGTGTGGCTGCAGTGTGCCTGGGACTGCTGTGTGTTCTCCTGCTGGCTGCCATCACAGTGCTGTGGATCAAGTTCTACAGTGTAATGGCCGAGAGAGACCAGTTGCAAACTAGTAACACCAACCTGACAAAAGAGAGAGACCAGTTACAGACCAGCCTGACTTCAGAGAAAAAGCAGTTACAGAATGAGAGAGATGAACTCCAGACAAAGCTTTCAAAACTGGGTGAGTGAATATTTGGGTAATGCTTTCTTTTTCAGTCTCCTTCTAGGCATTGCATACTCCAAAGTACTAGGTAATTATTTTGGGTAACATGATTGAGAACCAGATTCAGTTTCATTTCAGGCAATAAACAAGTACAATACAATATAAGACTCTTTATAAATTGTTAGTTTTTTGCCATGTACCTTTTATATTATTAAATTTATACCTCACACTTACACAGCTAATACATATAACTCCGGAACAATGTGGTTAGACTGTAATGGAACTTTCCATCTAGTATTTTTTATCTAGTACTTTGTTTGTACCTCAACCATATCAGTTTAATACCTAAAAGAAAGTTTCTTACCTATGTTGGTAAATGTAGCCTGTCTACGTATGCCCCCTGGTGGGGCAGATGCTGAGATGATTTTTACTAGCCTATTCATGTCTATACCTGACATTTAAAATTTCCTTTGGTCTCTGTGTTGTTGAAGTTTTAATAATATATCATCAACAACGAGAAGGCAATCTGAATACGCAGTGCATTAACACCTGAATAGAGGACAACAGTGTAGATGGTATCTCATGGGAATGATTCTGTGGGTTTAAGGCTAAGATAGATCTGTAAAATAGATTTTGGTTCATGAATGTTTCTGTGTGCGTTTAATTCGAGTATGTTGAAACGTTGACTCTTAACATTTCTTCCTGTAATTGTGTGACGGCCCCTAACACTGCAGCTGACGCATGAGCAAAAACAGTGATAAGCAGCTGCACTGTGACTTCATCTCTGTTAAATATAATCATTAGAAAGTGCAGTTTATTGAAGGTTGTGGTTGTAGTTTATTGTCCTCTCTCATTTTGACATGCAACCGCAGATGAATCTACGTGCCATTTCCTGATTATGATGCCCCACTGTGTAAGGGAGGCTACAGTGTCCTCATAACGCACCCAAACCTAAGCACACCTCTATCCATTATTGCATAAATCTAAGCACCTCAGAACCTGTCAGATAGTTTCAGGGAACTGTTATCCTACTTGTACACAGGACAAATAAAATGGCATACATCTACTACATTTGTGTACATGTGTGTACAATAAAAAATATGCACAGTTAAAAGAAAACAAGAAAACAAAGTGTTCATCATGGGAAGTAATTAGGAAAAAGTGCACATGATTAAAACAAAATGAGAGAATGAATTGTTAATTGTGAGTACAAATTAAGAAATCGTGGTTGCAAATAAAAGAAAACATGCATACAACTTGCAGAACGTTCCCTCAAAATAATTTTTTTTAACCCCCTCCCCTCCAGGGCTCTGCAATATGCAGTATGTGACCTACATAAATTTCCCCAGTATCCTAAATGATGTAACCACTGATGTAACCGTCTGGATACTTTTAACAGCCCTAGATTCAACCTTTCTATATATTTATAATGGCAAAAGGAAAGAAACTTGTCCAAATGCTACTGCACTTAGTTCAGCACTGAAGCCCCATCGGCTCTCTCTGCTGGTCTTGAGGTGGGTTTGCTTACTTTGTCCATGTTATTTAGCTACCTTGCTACATAGATAGTGTGGTTAAAACATCACTAGCTGGTCTCAGCCAAACAATCTGCTCAGCATCAGCTTTTCAGGCTCCATTGTGGAATGGCACTGCTTATTATTCAGTCAAACCAGCTCGTATTACCAACTTAACATATTACAAACGTACTGAAAATGAAATGGCTCATAAATGGAGGGAAACAGTTGTGTTTGCTTTACCAGAAAGACAAATCCAAAGCTGAATTTTTTTTAAGTTTATTTTTGGCCTTAGGGATGGGATTATCGTCCTGCTCTCTGACACTGTGCACTGTTAGAAATAAAGGTCCTGTGAAGGTACACTTTTTGTTCATCAAGGTCCAAACAACGGAAATGTTCCCTCAAAGGTACAACAATGGTTTTAAGGTCCAATTGTGTACCTTAAGTAAGTACATATTTGTACCTTATCATAAATTAATGTTTTAAAACAGAACAATAAAATAAAAAGCCTGGAGACGAGACGGGGTGTGTGGAGTCAGTGTAACAATATATATATATATATATTGAAGAAAAAAAAATATATATATATTTTTTTTATTTAATTTTTTTTCTTCAATATATATATATATATATATATATATATATGTATGTATGTATGTATTTTTTTTTTTTTTATGGATTATGGTGCAATTATGTTCCCTGACTAAAGGTACTGAGATGTACCTTTAAGGGGACCACTCCAGTGACAGGAGGGTTACTGCCCCAGTGACAGTTTCATACTTTTTTTTCTGAGAGTGTACAGGGGTGTTCTTTAAAATAATACAGGCTTATCTCTTGAACAAAATATAGATGAGAGCAGCATACGTCACTTTTCTGTCATCCAAACAACCACACCCCCTTTTGGGTGAAAACAAACCCAGTCAGAGTGTCAGTGCCAATTTAGAAATAGTAGTGCCACCATGCTTAAAAGCTGCTGCGGTGCATTTTGCACATCTAACAAAAAAAAAACTAGTTCAAAGAAGAGATCTGTGGCTTCAGGCCATCTGCAGAGGGGATGAAAATGGTTAACTGTGGGACTGGTCAATACATGTACGTCTGTGGGTAACACTTCATCACAGGCTAGTCAATGAGGCTAAAGTCAACAGTTATAGTGTTCAACGTCAACGTAGTGAATGTTGATGCTGCATTGAAAGAGCAGTTAGTACATATAACATAGTGAAAAGCCAAGGAAATTCCAATGTCAGCCTGTAACAAAAGCATTAACAGCTAGTTTGCTAGTGCTGGCTTTGTCCCTGGTTTGTTGAAACATTGGTACCAAATAAAACAGCTTCACCTTCCTGTTCCCTCAAGTGATTTTTATGTCACGATTATGTCTAAATGCTGCATTAATGCCATGATAATAAAACTTAAGGGAACTGAATTGTAAATATGACACCTCCAGCCACTGGGTAGGGCTGTTTATCCTCTTTGATGGAGACTGAAAGGACACTCAGCCACCCCTATTTCTTTCATTTCTTTCTATATAATGATGCTGATTGTTGATCAACAATGACATGACATATTTATTTGCTAGACTGGCCATAGGATTTGCGCTCCTAATAGCTATACATTAGTGTAATATTCTTATTTATGCTATTAAATTGTCAAAGACCATTTATATTTGTCACCAGTCACAGTAGAGGGGCTGCTTTCACCCAAAAGGGAAGGGGGCATTACGCTTAGGTTGTATGCTGGATACTGTACTGTATACTACTATGAAGAGTAGCATGCAGTATACAGTATATACTAATGCAGTATACAGAATGCAGTATGGTAGTATGCCATTTCAAACACAACCTTTGTGTTTGGGCAAATGAGACCAAGCAGAAACAAAGCTCCTATAACTTTAATAATCAGAAATATTCTGTCTTTCTCAGTCACTCCATATCACTTGCACAGACTTGAGTCTTTATCCTCTAAACCACAAATGTCAAATCTCAAATGTGTCAGGCTCCAGTCCTGGCGGCCAAAGCACTACAGACTTCAGCACGCTACCTCATTAAACACACCTGATTCAGCTCATCAGCTAATTAGCAAGGCCTTCATGAACTGAATCCAGAGTGTTAGATGAGGGTAAACGCTAATCTCCACAGCACTTTGGCCTGGAAGGTCCCCAGTTTGACATGCCTGCTCTAAACTTACTTCAATGCAGCATCAATGAGACAGAACTGCTGGTGGTTTGGCCTTTTTACTGCCCTTAACAAGAGCCACCTGATACTTGTTTGGCATCAGCAGTGAGGGCTCAAGCTGCTTCCCGTGGCACTTGCTGGCACTCATTAGAATATTTTAGTATATTAGACAGTGATAGTTTCTGCTACAAGCTGCTACATAGTGCCCTAGAATCGCTATTTTCACATGTACTAAGAAAATCTGTATTTTCAATGGAAAATCTCTACACTTTAGTAACACATCTGATACAAATATCAGTCTATAAGCATAATAAGCCATCCAAGCAATGTTAACCCTTTTAAAAACATGTTATTGAGTGTCTTTAAACAGATGCAATAATATCTATGGTGGTGGAACTTTCATTCTGGCTCCCTTTGTGTTCCCTTTAAAGAGGAGAACAGCAAACAGGGGTGGACCTACTTCAACTCCAGTTTGTATTACATCTCTACTCAGGAAAAAAGCTGGAATGAGAGCAGAAATGACTGCACACAGAGAGGAGCAGACCTGATGATCATCAACAGCAGAGAGGAACAGGTGAGACAGAGAGATTAGCAGAGTTAACCAACTGATCTTCAGGTATGTTTATACTGTGTTATCACAATGACAGGAGTTCATTGATGGAAGGCTTGGTGGCACTCAAGGTTGGATCGGTGTGACGGACCATGACACAGAGGGCGAATGGAAATGGGTGGATGGCTCAGCACTGACCACTGCGTAAGAAATTACTGAAGTAACTGAACTGAATTGAACTTTGTTCTATTCTTTTTATTAGTCAGTTAGCCATACAAAAAAGTAGACTAGAAACTAGTCATCATTACCATATCATAAAAAAAGAGAGAGCGAGAAAAGGTTATTTAATAGCATGCCACTAGGGGCTGGGGTAGCAAAGGCTGTGGTTTGAGATGTGATATGCACTGCAGAAAAGTTTTTTGTTGTTGTATTTCAGTACATTTCAGTCAGTCAGTCAGCTCTCAGAATCTCACCTCTTACAGCAGGGGTGTCAAACTCAACCACTAAAAGGGCCATATTAAAAAATCAGCAAATCCGTGGGCCAGCTGTGTTTTCACTTCATTTTTACCTAACATTTTGCCATGACCTGAACAGGCCACTGTTTATTCAAATATGCCAAAGCTGCAACAGCAAAATAGACATTAGGTAGGTTTTTTAAAAAAAAACTGCCTATTTGCCTGATCTAGACACCAGGCATCTTTTCTTTTTGTGTAACCGCTGGCCTATAGATTGTTGTTGGAGGAAGGGGGTCAGAACGCACACTATGTTGCCGTGCATGCGGGTGACTGTGGTGCATCTCAGGGTGCAACAGGCCAACAAGAATAGAAAATTAAAATAATTTTGCTGGCAAAAGTGGCCTCTAAAACATTTTACAACAGCCTGAATGGTTTTTTTACAGTAAGTCTTTTTATTCTTCACTGAGGGTAACTTTCTTAAGAAGGACCTATTTATCGGTTTTGCAGCGGAGCCCACAGTAATACTGTCACTGCAAGAGCCAAGGAACCGAATGCAAAGTGATTAAACTGGTCTTTTAAAGATCTGATTTTTTATGCCTTCAGGTTCTGGTGTGCTGGAGAACCCAATGACTATAAAGAAAACGAAGACTGTGCTGTAACTGGCTACAAAAGTGGTAATGCAAGCTGGGCTGATTTTAACTGTGATACGTTCAAAGCCATCGGGATCTGTGAGAGATCTTATTAATTATACAGCTAGATTTGAAACTATGGTACAATCGAGTATCTTCTATACATCACAATGTATTTTTAAAAGTTATTAAAGCTTTGTAACATTCCAGCAGATGTGTTTGTTGTCTTTTAAACTGCTGAAAAAGGGAAATTTGATGAAATTTTGAGCCCCAGCACAATGCTCTCTAGTACTTCCTTTGTTATTTGTTTAATTTTTAACTGACAGCTGGAATTCTGAACTGCGCGCCCATCAATTCATCTGCCAAATTTCTGCTTCTTGCCCAAGAAAATGGATGAACTGCTTCTCCTCAACAGGACAAACAAGAACTTTTCACGGTCTGCTGCCCTTTGCTTTACTAAGATCTGGCTCAGCAAACCCATCCCTGACAGCGGATTATATCTGCCAGGCTTTTATCTACACCGAGCAGCTTTGATTGCAGATTGAGAGAGACAAATTCACACCCCTCAATCAGTCCAATTCAACAACATCAGCATCCATCGCACCACTGGCAATCCCCCTTCCCTCCTCCTAAGACCCTCAGGCTGCACTTAAGATCTGTGAAGTGGATGTGAGCTTGCTCTTCAAGAGACAGAAGATTACAAAAGCACCAGGTCCAGACAGTGTTTTCCTCTTCTGTCTTGAAGCCTGTGCTAACTAACTGGCTCCACTCTTCACACAGATCCCTGGAACTGTGTAAAGTCCCCCCCCTCCTTCAAATGCTCCTCCGTCTTTCTGGTCCCCAAGAAATGATCCATCACAGGACTGAGTCACTACAAGCCTGCTGTGCTGTCGTCTGTGCTCATAAAGTCCTTTTAACGACTGGTGTTGGGCCACCTGAAGGATGTCACAGGACACCTGCTGGACCCCCTGCATTCTTTGCTTTCTTGGCTATGGAGAGTGTGTTCCTCTCTCACTTCAGGTCCCTGGATATGGTAGTGCCCAGGAATTTGAGTGACTCCTCAGTGGAAACTGTGATGTCACTCAAGATGTGGAGGACGGGGTAGGGAGGGGGGTTGCGCCTAAAGTCCACCACCATCTCCAGTGTTTTTCGTTTTTGGCAGCAGGTGGTTGCTGCTGCACCAGGATACCAGCTGCTTGACATCCTTTCTGTAGGCGGACTCATCACTGTTGGCTATGGAGGCCCACCACAGTGGTGTCATCTGCAAACTTCAGGATCTTCACAGCTGGTTTCTTGGAGACACAGTCATTGGTATAGAGACTGAAGAGAAGAGGTGAAAGTACACAGGGCACCTTGGCAGGGCATTACCAGAATAAAATTAAGAGTAGGATTAGTTAACACACCGTGGAAGATGACACACAACAACACTTATCTAAACTTAACTAACTTGTCTTTACAGTAAATAGCGTGTCAAAGCATTTGAGATAAACCGCCATGCCAACATTAAAGAGTAGAGCAGAGAAAAGCTTTACAGTTATGTTCCCAATTGTCCTTGGGATGGGACTGAGAGGCTTGGCCGCTAGCATCAATCGGTGATCAGTTTTCCGGGTAATTGCAAAAAAAAAAAGAACCAGAGGTTTGCATGCGTTCTCATCTTCTGATGAGAAAGGATCAGATTAGGTTCAAAATTAGATCAATCAGAGGTCAGAGGTCAAATTCTGAAGTTGGTCACTGAAAGTCAGCAGACCCACAATTCGGAACTCATAAACCTGACATATGACATGTCACAGAATGTTACAGAATGTCCTGTGAAATTCTCCTTTCGATATTGTTAATGAAAAAAAGAATTTTTTTGTGAAATGGTGATTTTTGTGTTTGTCCATGGAATTCTACATGCATTCACATGCTTGGTCATAAACAGATCAAAAGGGAGGTCACAATCTCTGAAAAAGAGGTCCTCTTGAGTGGTCCAGGAGTGTTGTCATTGTTCCTACGGTGTATTTATAACCTGGATCGGCCTGGGTGCTGCCTCGTACCGGGGCTGGTGAGCTGTGGCCAAACATCTTACAGCTACTGTTGCTACAGACTGCCACAGTTTTTAATAGACAAATGCCCTCTTTTTTGTCAACACAAAACAGCATAAAATGCTTTAACGCTGCGGTCATAGTGACACTGTAGGCCAGGGCTCGTCAACTGGAGTATTTCAGCACGGCAAAGCTGATTAACATATTATAAAATGATCATATTTCAGTGACATACATTAACATGAACCAGGGCGGCTTCTGTAGTAGTTTATCCAATCCGATGCATTTACATACACAAAGCTGACTTAGATGAAGGCAGCTTATCAGAACAGAGATAACAGGTCTAGACTTTAGGCCAGAAAGAGAATAATTTAACACATTTTCTTAGATTTTTACATTTTATTTACTATTTCTGGTCTGAGTAGTGAAGTGACAGTATGGTTTGTTTAAAAATGAAAGTCAATGTTAAAAACAGAGTGTTTATAAACGGAAGAACAGAACCGTGCATTTTTCTCCCTGTTTCAACCCAATGTTTCTCATCTGTTCAGTGTCCATGGTGCTGGTCAAAACATCAAGCACCAGCATCATTGTGAAACAAAACAATCAACTCAAATCAACAAGTTCTGAAGACAAATAAAATAAAGCCAAAACTCAACATGAAAGATTCACCAGAGCGGTTGTCCATTCCTGGACACCGAAATAGCATGAAATGCTCATTAAGAATAATTAAATTTTATTTTAATCTAATTTTATTTCTTTTACATTACAAAAAGATATTGTCTTCCATGGACAAATATTTTTTAAGATAATCTATTAATATGTTTTTTAAAGACTTTTTTCCTTCCAAAATTTTGGTTTATTTATTTATTTATTCATTCATTCATTCATTCATTCATTCATTTATTTAACAAACAATAACTGGTGACCACACAATTTTAAAATGCTCATTAGATTCTACAAAAATGTTCAAAATAAAACAGTTATCAAGATATATTTGATGTCTTACTTTATTTTATTTGTTGCCTGGACTGATCATTAATGTTTAGGCATTTGAAGATAACCATTGTCATCATTCATTAATGTTAGTTTGTTTATCCAGACCTTTGTGAGCAAAAACATTTTATGTAACTGGACCGTCCGAAGTTTCAGTTGAACAGCCCTGCTGTAGGCCATGCTACTTAAATCATGTTTAGAAGATAAAGTCTACTTTACCACCACTGATGAAGTGACTGTGACTTGCAGGGTTTCTCAAGGCTCTTTATTGGGCCCCTATTTTTTAAACCCTTTATGGTCCTTTTCAACTGAATCCACAAACCCCAGAATTACTTAACTTTTAGCAAACGATTATGGTCCCATAAATACTTTCTGTCAGTGCTTAGAGCAAATAAATGGATGGATGCACCAAAATTTTTGCCAGCTAAATAACAAGAAAAAACAGGTCCTTTTACTTGCCAGTGAGGAGGAAAGACAAAAGGTTAATGCTCACCTCAATTCCAGAACTCTAAAGAATAAGGACCAAGTCAGAAATCTGGGTGTACTTATGAATTCAGATGTAAATTTCAGCAGCTATATAACAGGAACATTTGCTTTTATTATGATTTAGATTGAGATATTTTATCTCAAAATAGAACCTACAGACATACTACAAACTACAACATACAAGCAGAGCCAGTATATGAGGAGTCTGACCTCTTCCTATTTCCCCCGTTATATCAAAAACATGATTGCAAAATGCCAGAGGGCGCCCGTGAGCAAGTCTTGCATGGATGGAGGTGAAAAGAGCTAAACAGCTAAAAACGAAAAGTTAAAATAGTTTCTAATCACTCGCCCAGAACTTTCTTTTAATTTTAGAGAGTAGAAGGATGACTTTTACTAAAAAAGCTAAGTAAACTTACCTGTATGTTTCCTATTTCAACAGCAAACTAGCATTACTGCTACTGAGTGCTGATTGGTTGGTGAGCGGAGCAGCTCATTGGCTGTTCGTGCTTACTGACATCATGACCGTACATGAGGTGCTGTTTTAAATTCCTATAACTCAGTACAAAACACTCAAAAATAAGACAGTGATGTTAAAATGCGTTATGATATTCAGTGTTCAGGAAATGAATGTATTCTTCTACATTAAAAACGTTTAAGCATTTATAAACTAGGGTTTTACACAAATGCTCCATATGAACCCATTCATTTTGGACTTGTTCCACCTTAAGTAGTCCAGCTATACTGATGCCTGAAGCGCCAGAATGTAACTGCTGCTCCATTTAAGGTGGAACAGAAAAATTTTAATGAGAAGCTGGCGAATAACTGACTTCAGCTTCATATTACTGAAAAATTGGGGGTGGGTGATAATAAATAATTGTCATATGCCCTCTTTGAAGGCATATGATTCCCTAAATGTAACTAAATAATGGTTGATTACCAAATAAAAAAAACAGGTTAAAAGAGTATGTTAGGTAGATTTTCATGCCCGTGAACATTTGCTTGTATGTCTGTTGTATGCGAGATCAGCGGTGCTGCTTTCACTCCGTCATGGGTGCTCTTACTTGTGCAGATGTCTCTGTCTCCAGGTGGCGAGAGAGAGAGAACGAGATACCTACATGGCTTTATGTAAAACATGATCTACATTATTCTAAAATTCACACTGACAGTTGCTGTAGTAAAAAACAAACTCACTTGAGCTTCTCCATTTTGTAGAAGGTAGTGAGATCAGCAGCTTAGTTTTCATCTTCATAAAGACCTTCATGGTGTTGTAGTTTAGAAACACAATCTTTCTGATGAAGAGAAAAAATATACAACTTCATGTAATGTGTTTAATATTATATTAATATTTAAACACATTAATAATTATTGTATTATATAAGTAGTACTTAGCAAGAAAGGTTTTTGTAACTCTACATTGTAACATTACACACAAGCATTACAAGGAGTTTCATGACTGTTTGTACTTCAGGGCTTTTAAAGTGGTGTTTATATGTAAAAAGAGATAACTGACCTAATCAGCCTGGGACGTTCCTCTTTCCTGCTCGTTCCTGTTAACATTTGAGGTCAATAATCTTTATGTGACCGCGTATTGCCAGTATTAGACTCGGAGGCAAGTAAGCTACCCTATACATCACAGAAGCTAATCAGCATGTT